GAATTTTCCCTTTGCAGCCATGAATAAGGAGATAGAAGTGTACACAAAGGCTGGAGCAGTGTAAACAGTGCCAAGGGAAAGGAATTTTTGTACATTATCTGCGGGGGTATAACTTGGATATAATGGAAGAAAACTAAACACAGGAAAACAAAGGGAGTGCGCTAAAGAAATTCCCAGTCACAAGGTCAGTTAGCCCAGTGCCTCCTCTCCTAGGAAGAGAAGCCCGGACACTTGAGTGGTTCAAAAAAATCTTTAAAAGGGCGAATGATTTCGTCCTGCAGTTTGGGGCATCTCCAGAGCAGTGCATGGAAAATTGCAGATGCAAAGGAGAGCAAATCCGCATCAGGGTTTGACTAACAGCACTTTTACATGAGTGAAGGAGTTAACTGCTGTTACTCAGCTCAAAAATAAATTGAAATTTTGAAGTTCTGGCCCATTAAAACTTAATGAAAATATTCAATAGAAAAAAAAATGTTGAACTGATAGAGGAAAGGGAAAAATGACTTTACTTTTTTTTTTGTGATTTTTATACAGTAAGCCATATATGCTTTGCCTTTGAAAACTTATTACAGAGGTTTGTGCTTTGAACCTTTAAAAATAAATGCTAAGAGACCCACAGCACATTTTAATTAACTGATCACAGTATAACAAAGTCTAAATGTTCATCCACTTTTTAAATAATTTTATTGTAGCTAGCTATTGAAAATTGTTTGCGTATAATTATTTGGCCATATTCATCCTTCTTAAAAGCAGCTGAATAATTTATTTTTCTGTCTCAGGAAATCTGTGTTTTATTTCAAAGGAAAAATGCAGTAGGTCTGCATTTTTAGCCCCACTGAAAGAAAGGAGAGAGCACCAATTGCGACGCTGCGCGTTGAGCTGCACGCACGGCATTGCAGATTGCACAGACATGGGCTGTAAACAGCTTTCATGCAACATCATCTATCATGCTACGGTCGGTTACCTCACCAGCATGTTATTTTATGCTTCCTGAGCCCTAAAACACCAAAGGTTGCCCACTGCTAGGGAGCCGCGGTGCTGCCTGGTAGCGTGAAGTAATGAATGCGCAGCCGAGTGTGCATTGTTTCTGCTTGTGCCCCGCTGTAATTTGTTTATCTGTCTAAAGATTATGCAGTTGAAAATCCACAATTTTATGCTGCCTTTGTAAATTATCAAGTCGCTTTTGATGAATGTATCCTCACTTCCAAAGCTAGTGGCATTATAATCTTGAAATATTGGAAAGTGCTCATGCATACGACGCAGAAGGTTATGTTTTTATATTTTTGGCAGACAACCGTTCTATAAAGTAGATCTGACCTTAAACTTCCTTACTGCATTAAAGGTAATTCAGTTTTAACTTTATAGTCCTAAATGCTGCTGTTTATAGAAAGTTATTGCCCAGTCAAACTTGACTGATTACAGATGAGAAAGTCTTGACTGTTTCGGACAAAATAAATTAGTATTGCAAACTAGTTTGCATCTGTGATTGTATTAGAGCCTTGGGGTGTGTGGATCCTAGATTTAACTAGCTACAGGAATTATTTAGCATAACAAGAAATTGTCTTGTGTGCCTAAGTATTGGTATTTATTCCTGGAGTACTACATTAGTCACATATTTATTGCAAGTGTCAGGAATATGAATACCTTTTATTATTCATTAAGCTACAAATGCTAAAGAAGTCAGTGTTTTGAGGATAAATTTTGGTGTGGAGCAAAATGAAAGCAATTGTTATTGTAGGCTGGAGGAGTGTCATCTTTGATGCTGATTTTCTTAAAATCCTTAATGCTGTTTTCGGATGGAGGAATGCCTCTCCTAGGAATGATAAAAGATTGCAGCCATAAACTGTAAACAATTAATTCATGTCTCTGAACATTTAACATTATCTGTATGAGGGAAGAAAATAACCTTACAGGGCAATATGGATTACGTATTATTCGAGTAACAGCATGCATCCCACATAGTTTAGTAAAAATTCTTTGTTGTTCTTAAAAAAAAAGGGGCTGCACCAAAGTCAATAGCTACAAAAGGCTTGAATGCAGCCATAAATGATTAATTTAATCTGTACAAGCATTAGTCACTAAAAGTTTTTAAGGTCCCAGAAGCACATAGTAGCCACGGTACTTTCATGATCTATTTTATGTGAGCAAATCGCACAAGTTACTGAAAGCAAGATTGGATGTGAAAATTCATTCTGTGTGGTTTTTCTCCAGAGACATCAGGCAAAGGTCTTAATATGCCCCCATTTAGAAACCATTTTCAGCTATTTACATAAATTATTTCTATATTTCTTTCTGTTTCTGTAATCTGGAAAATACTTGAATTCTGACTATCTCTTCTTTTTTTTTTCTTTCCTTTAATTAGTCAGAAAATGATGAGAAGATAGTAATATATGACCACATTGGGCCAAATGTCTGCATGGGGGATCACAAGGTAATTAAATTTTACAGCATTAAATTTACTAAGTTTGATTAGGAAGGAGAACGTTTGCACTAGTTTCTGCTATTTTTATATTCAAGCCTATTAAGTGTATTAAAAGTTCATATTTTTAATTTACAGCTCAGCTTTGGGAATGTTTGAAAAAGTTGATTCTACTGAAATCAGTACAATGCATTAGAATAGATATTGTGTTATACCAGATAAAGCACAGGATGATGTGAGCTGGCAGGGAGATACGATACAACCCAAAATGAATACAAACAGCTAAGTGTGCCCTTACAGCTATTCCCGTGAGGTATAAGTATTTGCATTGGGTTATCAAAAGTGCTTCCAACATACAATTTTAATTAATATGGCGCCTGACTAATTATTATTTAAGCGATATATTAAGCAATATATTGGCAGTTCCATATTAAAGTAACTGGTAACAAAAGGAATATTGACTTATATAAACAGCGAATAAAAAGAAGTAGAAAGAATTTTAGAAACAGTCGTCTATGCTGAAGGTGTCAGACTGAAATCTAAATTAGAAATTAAGCAAAATTGGGTATTTGCTTTCTTTGAAAAATTCAGCAAAGAGGCAGGAGGTGGCATCTGAAAGCACCTGTAGCATTTTATGGTTTATAGCTATTGAAAAACTCACCTAGAAACTTGCAGAAAGTTGCAAACCGTGCATCAATTTTAACCCATCCATCCCAGAGGCAGTGCTAGAGCTCTTGAAAAACAGTTCAGTGACAGATCACGTGTGATTAAATACATGCACTGGGGTGCATGAATCAAAATGTACACACATATGCACATGTTCAGTTCCGCCGTTCTTGGGAGAGCGGGCGCAGTTTTTCCAGGGGTTCGGTGCAGACGCCCTCCCGGGGCCGCCGCGGGCCCGAGCCCTGCGGGGCCGCTGCGCTTGCAGCATCCGCGGCACGTGCACCCTGGCAGCGTTTTGTCTGGGCTGTAGAGGAGTTTTCTCGTGTTTATTACTGATTGTAAAATAAGTGTTTGTGTTTCCCATGTGTAACTTCTATTTTTCCCTACCTTGCTGCAGCCTGTGTTCCTGTCCTTTCGAATAGCCACTGGGGCAGGTAAACCTATTGCAAATGTGCACAAGTGTTGTGTCGTGCAGTGATGTGGTGGTAAATATCAATTTTTTTCCCTTTCCGTTTGCATTTTCTACATCATTTCCCCTGTGTTTATTTTTCCTTTTAAAAAAAAATGCCAATTCCGCAACAGGAAAAAGATGCCTCCGGAACGAGAAGATTTTCCGTGCGACCACACTGTAGCAAGGAGGGAAGGGCAGCGCAGCATGCTGAGATACATAACCACAACAGCCGTGTTGGTAAATCGGGTGCCACATGTTAGACTGCTGATCGTACACTATGCTTCAGCATCCGGACTTTTGGAGAGAAGCCTCACATACCTCACTGTCTTGTATGTTCATGTGACATCGAGTAGAAACGTGGAATTATTTTTTTTTATATATATGTCACGATTCTGTTGCCAAAACTCTAAATAGACAGCAGAGATGTTATGTATTTTAGATTTCACAACTTTCAACTTTTAATAAGTGTTTGTCAATGTGGAAAAGCTACTTCAGCGTATTATAAACTTTTAAAGGTGTCATGCCTAACATTATATATCTTTACCACTTTGGGGTTTTGTACATTGGATTGTATAGATAGAGATATCGATGGTTTTAAATGGTGTTTTCTTTGTTTTGACCAAGGCTTATGGTTTGTGTTTTAGTTTTAGTATTTTGTTTTCATTTTTATAGATTTTTTTTCTCATATTATTTACTATACTGCCATGTTACATGGTTTTTGAATCACACAGCAGCTGCTTTCTATACCTACATATATATATATATATGTGTGTGTGTGTGTATATATATATATATGTATGTATGTTTGTGTATATATACACAGATATATAAATAATTTATAAACCTGACCAAAACTTACGCTAAATATACTTTCCAATATGAATGCTTGAGAGTGCCATATCAGCAGTTAGTGTTGAAGCCTTAGCAGGTTTAGTTAAGTGTACATCAGTAAATAACATTTATATATTACAAATAATATATAGCAGTGCCATTCTGGATACAGATATATAGCATACTATATAGCACATATATTAGCAGTTTCACTTTGTTACTCCTATAATCCCTTCTTTCTATGTAATATTAGGGTTTGAATGTGAAGTTCTTAGGTAGGTATGGGTGTAACTTTCAAGAATTTTGTAAACCGTTTTTTTGTCTGTCTTTTGTTACTGTTTTATGGTGCCAAGTATTCTATATTAAAACAATAGCAACACGGGAGAAAAAAAGTAATAGTCTGCTTCAGGTAGCAACTGCATTGGACACGGGCTGTATTTATACAGTGTTAAAGGAAAAAGGAAAAAAAGTGTATTTTTTCCTGGTTAGTAGCTCAGTGCAACCTACAATATAATCTCATTATGAACATTTTTCTCCCACCACTAAATACAACATTAAAAGGTGATTAGAGAGTCTGTTGATGAAACACAAATGTATGTTTTATTGATTTAATTTAGAACACTACAGAGTTCATGGACTGTGTGCTGGCATTAGATTGATGCTTGATTTTGGTGTAAATCACTACGGTTGGAAGGCGGGAGCGCTGCCCGCGGCCTGGAGCCCAACCCGGGCGGCAGCGCCCGAGGCCTTTAGCGACGAGTGCTCCGTTCTCAAGCAATAAAACTGATCATGGTGAACCTGGCTGCCTCTGTCCCTTTCCTTCGGGCGTGGGGGATCGATGGGAAACTGCTAAATTGTGAAAAAAATAATCTCGTTTTTAGCATCTCTCAACTTCTAATCTCCTGTCAATTAACAGGACTGGGTTTTTCATGAAAACATGGGTGCTAGAATGCACGTGTAAGTGTAAACCAGAACATGATACAAAACTCCAAAAGGGCAGTGGAAAGTTGGTACTAGACTAGCAAAGTGTTAGTGCACAGAGCTACTACTACAGTTTTACAGTTACTCGTGAGCTGCCGGCCCCCAGTAGCTCTGTAAATATGCCGGGATCAACGTCTTAGTCATTAGCTCTAGTTAGAGAAAAACTGCTGCCTTTTTAAAACTCGTTAATAGATAAAAATCACCAGAGCTATAAACTGCAAGCCCATAAACAGGCATAATTCAAGGAAAGGAATTAGTTACACAGGTGACCTGTCATAGTATCTGTTGAGCTGGGAGAGTCGAATTTAACCCACAGAACGTCGCAAAAATGCGAATTTAACCCGCAGGACATCACAAAGAAATCAGCATTTTTCATGGAAAAAAAAGCAATAAAAAGGAAAAAAAAAAGAGCCAGAAAGGTCATTTTCTCTAACACTCATCCCGCAGAGCAGTTTCTTTTAATTTAACAGTTTTAAAACTGCTAAATAAGGACTCTGCCACCGAGGAGTGCCCGGTTTCTGGCAGAATCCCCGTCTCGGGGCGCCCCTTTCCCGCCGCGGGGCTCCGTGCCCTGGGGCTGCGCGGGAGCCGCCGGGGAGGATGTTCCCCGCAGGTGCGGTACGAAGGCACCTTGTTCTAAAAAGGAGGAAAAAAGAAAAAAAAAAGGCAAGATACGCGTCGCAGACTGTAGATTTCCGAGCTCCTTGGAGCAAGTTTCATTTCAAGAAACCGAGAAAGGAGCAGGTGTGAGAAATGCATGCGCCGTTCAAGCGCGGCGTCTCCCGCTGTCCCCCTCGCTCAGATCCGGGAAGCGACTGAGCTCCCGCCGCGGCTCCCGCGTCGTGTCTCGCCGCGTTCAAAACCCAAGCGAAGATAAATTTCCGAGCGGGATTCACCTGGGCCATGCGCGGCATTTCGGGGCTCTCGTTGTAGGAATTCGCGGGCTCCCCCGCTCCTCGCCCGGGCGGCCCGGAATCCGCTCACATCTGAGCTCCCTAAACCAGAACGAGCGGAGCGCCTGGGCCGGAGCGCCCCGAGCGGCGGCGCCTGGG